GTTTATTGTTTGTTGTTTATTGTTTGTTGTTTGTTGTTGCTTTTATTGCTTACTAGTACTATTTTATTATTATTGTAGTTGTTTTCAGTTCAATTTAAGCAGGTTTTCTTCAGATCTTTATGAAGCATTATTGTATTATAAAACATTCGACTCAGAGCTCGAAGAATTTGTTAATTTCCATCTTTTCAAAACTACTGTATTTTTGTTTGCAGATGTCATATTATTTTTATTTAATGATGCAATAATATTATTTCACATTCTAATTATTGCTAATTATTATTGTTATCTAGATGAGATGAATCTGTAAGGCAAATATCGATTATGCAAATATTCAAACAGTTGAATAATACGTTTAGACTTAAGCAATTAATTTTTGAAATTGGAAAAATGAATTATGGTACTCTTAATGTTGTATACGATATGGAATGATAAATCGATGCAGTTAGATAGCTACACTTTTAAATATATTACTTGCTGAAAGAAATATTGATTAGTAATAGAATAAAGACATAAAAGTTTGAATTACTGTTTGTCTAATTTTGTTCTGAAATATTATTCAGTTTTGTAGTTCATGCTGTTTCATTTCATACTCGTTAATCTTCTGGTTTAAAAAAAAAGAAGGGAAAAGAAAAAAGGGAAATTTTAAATTCCTATTTCGAAAAACAATAATATAATTTTTTTTAATATTCTTACATTCGATATTAATTAAATTGAATAGAATTTTTGCTTTCTTTTTCTTTCTCATTTTTTTCGCTTCCAAATATTTTTTCATTTGAAAATTTTGTGCTACAATAACAACACTACATGTTGAAACCTTTTTAAAATAAATGTAAAATTAAAGTTTCTAGTTAAAGTTTATTTTCAATTTCAAAAAATCATGCATAAATTTTAGGAACAAAATCACTAAACATAACATTATTTCCAATATTAACATAATTCTTTAGTGAATATTTCGTGATTTTTATGCAATTATTTTTCTCTTTTTTAAAATTTTTTTTAAAATTTTTATAAAGTACTGAAAAATGTGAACAGTTAAATTTAATTACTCCTTTCCTTTCTACCGTCGTCTTTTCATTCCCACCGTTCCATCCCATAGCAATTAATATTTGCTCAAAAGCTTTTTCATTTTTCTTCAAACCTGCTTCTATTCTCCTTTTTTTTTTCCTCTCATTTTCACGCCCACTTCTTCCAGCATCATTCCTCCGCATCGATAACTACAAATTCTTAAATAATTAGACGGGAAGTAGGAAAAAAAAAGGGTAGGAAAAAAATGGACGACATTTTTATTTCTTCTGCTCTCCATTTTTCCATACTTCTTAATTTTCTTCCATTTGGGTAAAGAAAGAAGAATGGAGCGTGGTGAAAAGGCGTTAAAAAGATGGAATGATTTCATTTTAGTTGAAAGAAAAAAAAATTTATTTTTTTTTTAATTAGGAAATGAATGCAATATCTTTTCATATATTTCCGCTCCATATATGGAGAAATATATTTTTTTGGACGTTTTTTTACAAATTGATATTTTTGTAGCTTTATTTTGGCAATTAAAGAAAAAAATTCTTTTTTTTAATTTTTAAAATTGTTGCATTTTTTAAATACTTAAAGCATTTAAAATAATACAAAATAGTGCAGCATACCGTATAATAAAACTTACAGTAGTATTGCAGTTTAATTCTTATTGATACAGTAAAATACAGTATCAACGGTAAAATATTGTACGGTAAAAGGTTACAACAATATATAATTACTTTAAATGAAAATTTGAAAAAAAGGGAAAAAAATATTTTTCACTGATTAATATGATGTAAAAACTTTCCGATCTAACAGATCTAACAGATGTAAATTGCCGGAAGTTATTCCTCCGTTAATGAATATATCATTACAATGGATTACTTACTACGTATTCAGTTATTGATGAATGATATCTGTAATTTTATCTTTTTTAAGTTATTTGTTGTGGAGTTAGTTTGAAATATTTCAATTTATGATTAATATCGATAAAGTGACTTTTTCCTTTTTATTTCGATATTTAGGTTTCCAGGTTTTTTTTTGAATCTACCATTTAATATGAAGTTTTCATTGTTCATTTCCATCTTCGATCATTTTCTTCTTTCTGCTTTTTCATATCAAAACAAAGTTTTCCATAATTAAATACTGAATGAATGAATAACTCATAAACATTCACTGATTCTTTTTATTTCAAAGCAAAATTTATGATAATAAGCTATAGAGGAAGTTAATTAATTCAAAAATAAAAATGGATGTATTGATTAATTTTTTTTTTGCTTTCTCTAAAATTATTGAATATTGTCAATTAATTTTCATCATCACTTATTATAATTTTAAAAATTAATTGCAAATATTTCTGAACTTATTTTAGGTGGTGATTTGCCAGAGTTCACTGGAACTCCGCCGCTATATTGGGCCTGATTGTTTGACGATGGATGTTGGTGGCATATTAAAATATAATCATTTAGAATGGGTTCAACATCGTATGGTAAGCGATTGTTCATTTTTTTTTTTATTAATGGTGGTAATAATTAGTAAAAGTTAAAGATTGTTTCCATCAATTTTCATATTATTCACATTTTGTTCATTTTCTTTTTTCTTTGCTTTTTTTTAAAACTAATTTTTATTTTTTATCGTGTATAATTATTTTCTCCTCCTCTCCATTTTATTAATATATATTTCCATCAAAATTTACCGGTCATTCAATATTGTGCATTGGAATATGAGATGGGAGAAGTGTTTGCGTGAAATGAATTTTAATCATGCAAATTATTAAATCAGCCGGTTTAATATATAAAATGGTTAGGCTTGATGATGACGTCAACTTAAGTCAAATCAAATATGTCCAAGAAAAAGAGTATTTAAAATATTTTTTACATAGTCAAATATTAATAACGTCAATTTATATGTTATATATAATTTATCTAATTTTGATTTATATTTTCATTGAAAACCTTAATTTTTCGAAATTTTTTAGCATAATTTTTACCACAAATAGTTTCATTTTTTTTCATATATTTTAAATTGCGGAAAAAATTGCTCATTTCTATATTTACATTTTCTTTTTTATCATATAAAATTCTGTAATCCGGAATAATATTATTTTAATAGCTAATAATAAAATCATTTCACCATCATAGAAATATACCAAATGGTATTCTAAGAATTCTTGAAATTTCAAAAATACATTGTGTAAATTGAATTCCTATCATTTTACTTAGCCCATTTTTTCTCAGGATATTGAACGGATGAAATCATCCGCTACCGTAATTGCTCAGTCATTGAGCGAATTTGGTCGTTGCCTGAAAGAAACCGAACTTCCTAATGATGTCGAGACAACAGCACGAATTCTTGAAATACAAACTGCTGAACGTGATGCTATAAAGGTCATTTGCTCACTTTTTCTTTTCAATTTTTCGGAAGATTTCCGGGGTTCAATACAGAATAGATTCAATTACATTTTGTAAATATTATTTTTGTACTTGTTTCTTTCTAGGAAGACTTTCGAATATCCATACGGAAAGGATTATCACTGTTACGACACGTCAGACAATTGGATGTTAAACCGGAACATGAACAACTTAGTCCAACCAGGTGGTTTCATGTTTGTTTCCCGATGTTTTCCGGATTTTTTGTTTCATTCCATTTAACATCGATCAAATAGGAAGAGTTTTCGAGACAATGACAGTATTAAACTTAGCGCTGAAAATAAATTTCCTTCTTTTCCAACTTTTTAACTAATTGGAATTTTTATTATTAGATTCAATTTTATTGCTATAATTCCACAGATAAAAAAATTGTAGTTTAATTTTTGCCAGAAATGATGAATTAATAAGTTTTAATATCTCGAAATCTATTTTTCACTTCTTTATTTTATTTAAAATAAATGGAATTTAATGTAAACCTATCCATTTCCAGCAAAAATTTCTAAAAAATTTTATTCTGAATTCTTGTGCTTCTTTTTTTTCTTTCTTTTACTTTCTTTCACTTGTAAATGTTGGAAAATGATTTTTTCGACTTTATGGCCAATAAATTAAGCTAGCACTGAAATGAAGTTAATTCCATTTACATCCAGATGAATAAAATAACACAAAAACACAAATAAACAGACGACGTGTTCATTCACATCAAATTTATTCTCGAAGATTCGTCAGGACACAAAGTTTATTTATAAATCCTTTCGTCGAAAAATGCGGTAGACATGGGTCCATAATTCCAGCAGTTATTTAATTAAAAAATTTTCATTAATATAATTCATAACTCGTTTTCATAATTTTATAGCAATTACAGTTTATTAAATAGGCATCAAATAAAATATCTGACCAAAAAATATATACATGAAAGTTTATTTATTTTTCTTTCTTTTTTGTAGACTTCACAATGTGACAGCAATTGAAAGAATGCTTGTGCAGTTGGAAGAAACGGAACGAAGTTTTGATACATTTTGGATGAAACACGAAAAACGTCTTACGCAATGTTTGAATCTTCGACGATTTGAAGATTCATTTAGAAAGGTGAACTAATTCTTATCATTATATTACGCTGTATTTAAGCATTAAAATTCATCCATTTCTAATATCATTAATTAATTCTAAGTTGTTTTTGAGAATGAACCAATAACTCTTGATATGAATTTAAAGTTATAATTGAAAATAAGAAATAGCTGTTAATGTTACCAAATTCAAAATTATGATCCGAAATGAAAAAATACTTCCTAATTCAAAATTACGATCGAACAAAACTTTAAATAACATCAAATTTAAATTTGCAATCAAAGATGAAAAAACAACTCTTATAAATTTAAAATTTATGGTTGAAAATGAAAAAAATACCACTAAATTGAAAATTTTTTTTTGCAATGAAAAAATCAAAGAAATTTATTTGTATGACAAATAAGCGAAGGAATAATTCTCACAAATAATTTGCATAAATTAACAAATGTCTTTGAAATAATGTATGAAATTAAGTGTATTATACTTTTTGCTTCTAATATCGGTTGTGAACCATTATCAAATACCCTATGCTATCAACACTAATTTTTCATCATTTTAATGATTAAATATATTGTACTTTTTTTTCCCCTGTTTAATTCATGCTTTAAATAACTTTTTAACTTTCATACTATATCTGTAAAGCTCTTCTTCATGTCATCATTAGCAATTCATCAGTTAGTTATCTGTTAAAACAATCTTGTTTTGTCACCATCGATACAGCTGAAAATGTCACTTTCATCTTTTAAACTGGTATATCTGTTATAAAACATTTTGCGGCATTCATTCTTCTCCCATTTTCTCCTTCTCATCCTCTTTCCTCATCTTCTTTACAATGTCCTTGCAAATGTTGAAAATTCCAAAAATAATTCAAATAGTATCTTTGAAATGCACATATTGAGATTTACCATTTTACAACCTTTATATTCACGTTTTCCACAAAGGTAATTAATGAGTAAGTTTACATTTATTATCATCTATGAAGGTTAGTCAATAAGTAAGCTTATATTTGTGTCATTTGCAAAGGTTAATTAACAAGTTAAGTTTGCACTTGTGTTATCTGTAAAAGTCAATTAATAAGTAAGCATACATTTTTTTAAATAAATATTGGAAAAAAAAGCATTTCAAGATGGTAGAAAGTATTGTTTTTCATTATTCCTTTTATTGTTTAATGGTCATTTCAATCTATCAATTCGAAAGATCCAAACTGAATTTTAAGAGATCTTTCTTTTTGAAGAAGCTTTTAACTTTAATAATTGCAATAATTATGCTTCAGAGAAAATTTACTATAACTATTACACATTTAATTGAAATTATTATCAAATAAAAATATTATCATATCATAATGTTTTGATTTTTTTTAATTATCTTAGAAACTTAATGTTACGTTCAAAAAAAAGAAAAAATCGAGTAAAGCGATTTCTTTTTTTTCGATAAATGAAAGGAATTATTAAATTCATTCATTAAATAGCAAAATGAATTGTTAAATGATAAATGATTTGATAGGAGAGAGAGAAAGGAAGAAGTCTCTGAACAATTCATCTTTGTTCAACATAAACTATTCTCTATTAGTAATTGATAACTATCAATACAAAGTGGATGAAAGGGCAATGATGTGACCATTCCTCTGTCCACTTCCTTCTTCTCTCATCATTTTTTTACTTTCATTTTCATTCTACGTCTTATCCTCTCATATTTATTTAATTTTGTTATTTCAAAATGTTTTTTTTTTTAGAAATTTGACATTATCCATGTTTATAAATATTATCTGATACTATTCCATTATTAACATTAACTAAGCATTATTTATTCATACAGTATTTGTATGATATGATATCATTATTATTCTTGAAAAGATCATTGCTTTTCTTTTTTATCCTTTTTTTTTCAATAACTTTCATAGATTTTTTCCATTTTGACAAATATGTCGTTTAGAAATTTGTGAAAACAAAAAAAAAATCAATAATATACAAATAAGTATTATATTCTTTTTTGGAATTTTAAGTTTATTTTTAGGAAGAAATAGGAAAAACAATTTGATAGCTAAAATATTAGATAACATAATGCTCAATTCAATTGTCGATCAAATGATAGATGAAGAAACACTTACATTCTTTTGTTCTTAGTTTTCAAAACAATTTTTGCTCTCTTTTTCAAGTTCGGTTGATTCGAAATAATGATAGATCCAATCAATAAAAATGCATTTATTTATCATTTCTTCAAATTATTGTTATTTTTTCTTTTTGAAATTTCACTGCTAACATTAAATTTTGTTATTGCTAATGAAAAAAATGAGTAGTTCATAATTTTTATAACATTTTCAAATTTCATTTCTAATACTTTCCGAGAATTCTCAGAACAAAAAATGAATAACTGAAATATATTTTCATCATTTTATGATCAAGCTTTTTTTTCCTAACTTCTATGAAAGAATATCTTATTTAAAAAAATATTAACAATTATTTTTCAAAAGTTAAAGATTATTACAAGTTTATAGAAGAGAGCAAAAAAAATGATGGTTAAAAAGGAAATAATAAT